GCGGGATGCTCGGCCGCACCGTCAAAGATAAAGTCCATCTCGTCGTCGCTGCCACGATCCTCAATGGTGCGCAGGAACGCCTGGTTGCGCGGGTTCTCGGCGACCTTGGACACGCGCTCGTCGGCAAAGAGCGCCTGCTGCATGCGCGCAAACTGCCGCCGCTTCATGCGCCGGCGCGCCTCGCCGCCATCGTCCGAGTCCGACAGGTCGTAGTCGCCCGCGCCGCCTGCGCCGCGCTTACGCCGCAGCATACCCGTGGTCACGTCGCGGAACAGCTTCTCGACCTGCTTCTCGTCGTTTTCACGCTCGCGGTCACTGGATATTTTGTTAGCAGGACATCCCGTTATGGCAAACATTGCAACCCGTCAAATCCCCACCGTAGAACGTACGCATAGAATGCCGCCAACTTGGCATTGTCGGTGGACGAGACCTTCTGGTCGTCGTCGATAATGTCCTTGACAGACGCCATGGACTCGTTGTCGCTGTCCTCGCCGTCCGCGCCACCGAGACCGGCGTACTCATCCTCCGACTCTTCGGCCTGCTCCTCGACCATCTCCTTGGCCTTGCTCTTCTTGCGGTCAAACTGCTTTTGGAGGGCTGCCTGGCGCATCTTGGCAAAGGCCGTTGCAGCCTCCATGGACTGATTGTCGGTGGGCACGGCCTCTTCTTCTTCATCATCCTCGTCCGCGGCATCTGCAGCCTGTTCCTGTTCCTCCTCCTCCTCCTCGTCTTCTTCGACAATCTTGACAACATCCGTCTTGCGGAACAGTCTGCCGCGCGGCCGACGCTGCACAACAGGCGACGGCGACGGTACAACGGGCTGGGACTCGGCCTGCGACTGCGTGAGTGGTTGTGTCTGCTGCGTCGCTTCGCCCAGGACAACCGTCTCCATGGTCGACGGCTGGTGCTCGATGAAGCGGACCTTGAGGGGCGTGTATTCCTGCGGCCCGTTGTCCTGGCTGGGGCCGAGCAGGGACATTTGGCTCACGTCCGGCTCGCGCAGCAGGCTGTCGAGACCGTGCACCTGGGACTGCGAGAAGTTGAACTGCACCATCTGGCTCGGGCCGGTGGCGCCGTTGCTCTCGTTGCTGTTGTTGCCGTTGTTGTCGTTGTTGGCGTCGTTGGCGTTACTGCCAGCAGCATTGTTGCTGCTTCCACCTTGCATGCGCTTGATCCATTCCTGTGTCTGCTGGCTGTCGAGCACGTCAGCCGCGTTCGTCTCGTTCGCCTTCTCACCGCTGGCAGCCGCTTGCGAAAAGTTGGCGTCGACCAAATTGCCGAGGGTGGGCATGAATTGCGGCGGCGACCCGACACCACCGGGCGAGCCGGGCATCTGGCTGTTGTCAGACATGGTGCCGGCAAAAATCTGGGTCAGGCCCAGGCCCGCAGGACCACCCACGGCGACAGGCAGACCGGGAATGAATGTTTTCGTGGCAGAGCGCAGGACCGACGTGGGCACCTGCGGCGAGTCGTTGTTGGACGCAAGACCAGACGGCGACTTGACGAATGCGGTCTTGGGGCCGGGCGTCTTTGCCTCAAACGGAAGCAACACAGACTTGGCAGCGGCAGGAGTATTGTTGTGATCGTCAGCTGTGTCCTCGTCGTCTGAGACAATAAGCGCAGCACGCCGCTTGGTGGAGCGAGGACGGGGCCGTGTCGGTGTAGGAAGCACGCCGGCAGCATTGGCCGCGTCCACCTCGTCGTCCTCTTTCTCCTCCGCGTCGTCTTTGCCGTCCTCGGAGTCGTTGTCTGTAGACTCGGCTTCACCGTCGATAAGTGTGCCAGCCAGGACCTCTTCGTCGCCCTCCTTCTCCTCGTCCTCGTCCTCGGAACCAGACAGCTCAATCTCCCGCTCCTCCACTTCCTCTTCCTCCTCTTCCGCATCAGGATCGTAGTCGTCCTCATCCTCGCTCTCGTCCCAGTCCAAAACATCAGGCACGGCATCCGCACCGTCGCCCCTCTTCTCCTTTTTGGCCTCGTCGCGCTCGCGCTGCATCAGCTCCTCGGCTTCCTGGCGCGCGCGCGCAACAATGTCGTCGACTTCCTCCAGCTCGCGCTCGCGTTCCTCATCGGTCTGGATACGCACACCCTTGGCGCGCAGCATATCCAGGCGCTCTTCGCGTTCCAGCTTGGCCTGCAAGCGGGCACGGTCCTGCAGGGACTGCTGCAGCTCACTCAGGGTCAGGTCACCAGCGCCGGACGCATTCTTCGCACTGTGGGCGGAGGGTCGGGCGCGCGGTTTCTTGCCGGGGGAGCCAATCTGAGCGAGGCGGCGCAGCGCGTACATAGAGCGCGGCTCTCGGTTGCGCTTGAGAGGCACGTTGTCGAAGAGGATGTCGAGCTTGTTCTTAGCAGTCTGCACAATCTCCAGTTCGCCATCGTCGTCCGAGTCGATCATGACTAAATTGGTCTGCACGGCGGGCATGCGCACGCGGATGTTGCGCTTCAGCTCGGGCTTGGGCTGCTCATCACCAATAAACGCTTCAACGGCCTTGCCCTTGCCCTTGTCAAGCTTGGGAACGGCGAGGGCGGCATCGGCCGACTCAGCCGACGCGGTCGTCGTCGCCGTCGTCACTGCCGCCTCCTTGGCCTTGTCGAAAGCCACACCAGGCACCACCGGCACTGGTGGCGAGCTGGGCGGCGTGTCTGCACCGGCACGCATCTCCGAGTCCGTATTGTTATGGGGTGAGGTGGGCGATGTCGGCCGGCTGGAGCTGGTTGGCTCCTTGGCAGCGGGCGCAGCCGATGCAGCAGCAACGCCGGTCGGGTGGTAGTTGAAGCGCTCAAACAGAGACGCTTTCGTGACCCTCTTGCGGGTCTTGGCTTCGTGGGCCAGCTGCAGGTTGCGGGCCATGCGCTGTGTCTCGCGGTGCATCTCCTCGATGGCCTTCTTGCTGGCTTTACGCTCGGGGCGCGCACCAGCCATCTTTTGTGTCAGACGCCGGCCGCCCTCGTCGTCTGTAATGTCCGACGGGTTATCATCGGCGCCCTCGGCATCGCGCATCAGAATATCGTCGTCCTCGTCCAGACCATCCATGGCCTCGTCGTCATCGTCATTGTCGCTGTTGTCGGCCATGGCAGCCATGCGTGCTGCCAGCTTGCGCTCCTCGGCCTCCTCGAGGGCGCGTGCTTCTTTGCGTTTGCGGGCCACAAGTGCCTGGAAACGTGCATTACGGCCAGGGGCAGCAGAATCGGCAGCGCCGCTGACGTCGTCGCCACCCTTCTCGGGCGTCACGAACATGTCAGGAGAGTCTTCCCTATCCGCCTGCTTGCTCGGCGTCATGAACATGGGCGGTGAGTCCTCGCGCTTTGACCGAGAGGGCGAGACGGATTGGCGAGACGAGGCGGACGCGCTGCGCCGGGCCGTGCGCAGGTTGGTCAGTCGCTTGCGGGGCCGCGCTGCCACCGGGAGGTCTTCCTCATCCTCGGCATCGTTGGTCGTATCCTCATGGCTCTTGGCCGCGGTCTCGTCTTCTCCCTGTTGCTTGCCGGCGTCAGCAGCCTGCTGCAGCATCCGCTTGACGCGTTCACGGGCATTGTCGGCGGGTGGCTCGGCCGTTGCCGTTGTGCTGTCAGTTGCCACCGCAGCTTGCATGCGGGCCGCAAATCGGCCGCGTGGCCGGACTTCCATGTCGCTGTCCTCATCGCTGCTGGCAGCCAGTGCTCCAGCACGAACAAGAGGCGACATGGCCCGTGGTGATCGGCTGGACTGTCTCGTTTTCTGGGGAGATGTGGTAGGCGTAGATGCCGCTCGGACGCGGGCGAATGTGGACGCGTCTGCGAACCGTGGCGACTTTCTGGCTGACAGCTGCGCGCTGGTCTTCCTGGCCTTGCGGCTTGGGGTCTTGTTCTCCTCGTTGCTCTCACGCTCGTGGTCAGAGCCGCTGCTGCCAGCGTTGCCGCCATCAATGGTAGCGAACAGCTCGCGGAGCTTGGTCCGGGGCGTCATTGGCGTGGCAACGACCGAGTCGGAGTCGGAGCCCGAGCCAGCAGCTGGGGAAGGTGTCCGGGAGGGGGCATCCATAGTGTGGATGTGTGTGCGTGATGGCAGAGGCGAAGCTGGTTGTTTGTTGCCCTCGAGCTGTCGTGTACTTTTTGTGTATTTTGTGTTATGCGTAGAGTCGAAAGCGGTGAGCAACGCGTGTCAATGCAGTATTAAGACGAAAGCATGTTGGTATGGAGAACGGCAAAAGCTGCAGAAACAATACAAGCAAAAATAAGAGAGATGTAACGGAACAAAAGTAAGAATTGGCACGCCTGGCTTCAATACAAAGTGGTGTAAAGTGTGAAGCTAGGAATTGTTGCCAATATTGAAAATGGTCGCGAGAAATAGAGCAGAAACACAAATGCGGCAAGACGCAGGGCGAGGGGAGCTCTTTCCTCATTAACATGTTTAACGTGTTGGACGTGGAGAGACGCGCTTTCCGACGCGTTGGCCCTCTATTTTTTAGTGGAGAGCGACCGGCCGCACCTGCCCTACGACACCAAAAACGCGGCGCGCCTGTGCAGGAAGGCGCCCTGGCCAATTTAGGCGGTTTTGGAGTGCTTATGTAATTCAGGTACGTCTAAATCTCACACACCAGTCCGCTTGTCACGTAAAGAGAAACATGATTCGCAAAATGCAGGTTTGAATGGTATCTCTTTGCATTAACAATTGCTGTCTAGGAAGAATATGTTTGGGGGTTAGGGAAAAGCGCGTTCCCGAGATGTAGCCAGAGTGCGTAAGTAGTGTACAAGAAGTGTCGAAGTGCATAACAGGAAAATCGAGAAACGAGAAATGAGATAAGTGACGAGGTAACAAAGCAAGGAAACACTTTTTTGTGCTCAAGAATACAATACCAAGCAGGCCAAAGACAAAACAGAAAGCAAAACAACAGAAGCCGTCCAGACAACAAGAAGGCAGCTTGGAAATGAGAAACGCCGAGAAAGATGCCCAAGCCACCATATGAAGACAAAGGAGAGTCGGGAGAAGAGGATGAAGGGGAAGGAAAGCCCACCGATCATCCGAAACGGCGAGCACGCATAGGAGGTTGCAGAGTGCCGTCATCGGACAAAAAGAAAAAGAAAAACAAGAAACGCCGCGCACCGCCGCCCAGTTGTTCGCCCACACCAGTCGTCGCGTTGTAAAACCGTACATGGCCATCCAAAGCCCCTGCTGGGATATCGTGATAACCGTCCTCGTCGTCCGATGCGAGTCCCGAGATTTTTTTGCTGGATAGCCATAAATAAGGCATGGAGTATGAAAAAAGAGATAACAGTCGAAAAAGGCGGAGAGTGGGATATAGCATGGTGGGAGAAGAAGAAAATGATAGAAAGAGAGGGCAAAGGCAGATTAGCCCACAGCGAGGACGGAATCGAGGACGCCCCCAAGCAAGTCACTCTCGCCCAGGTCTGCACTATCCCAGGGAATGTCGTCGTTGTCGTCGAGCTCCATGAGCTCCGCGTAGTCGACGCCGTTCGGCTGGCCCGTCTTGAGGTGTATGCCGTCGACGGCCGCGGCTGCGCCAGCGGACGAGCCCGTCTTGACCATGGCGGCACCGCCGCCTGCGCCGCCTGCGCCGCCTGCGCCGCCTGCGCCGCCTGCTGTCGCACCGCCTGCTGCCTCGCCGGCACCGGCCGCGGCAGACACCGCGCCGTTCACGTTGGCCGCGGGCAGCAGCGACGGCAAAGACGACTCGAGGCTGTTGACGTAGGGCGTCGGGTCCATGCCGTCGATCCACGTAAAGTCGTCCCAGTTCTCCAGTTCGCCCTCGCGGTAACTGGCCATGAGGGAGTGGCCGACGATGGGGAACTGCGTCAGGCCACAGTCGCCCATCTCGAGCGCCAGGCGGAACTCGGCCACGCCCAGCGGCCCGCGCTCGCTCGCCTTCTTGGCCTCGATCGGCAGCAGGCCCATTTTGTCGCGCTGGATCTCGCCGAGCAGGGAGCGCTCTTCTTCGCGGGCGAGCTGGCGACGGTACTTGCGCGTCTGCACCCAGTTGCTGCCGCCAAACCCGGCGCTGCCGTACTCGCCGGGGCCGTCGCTGCGTGTGCGGCTGAAGACGGACGACAGCACCTCTTTGACAAAGGTCTCGGTGGCAATGGACATGAACTGCGCGGCGTCCGAGGCGTGGCCCGAGACCAGGCCGGCCTCGTAGCAAAAGGGCAGCATGCGCGACTCGATGTTGCTGGTGTCGGGGAACTCGCCCGACTCGACGGCCAGCGGCTGCGCAAACCGCTTGCGGATTTCCAGGTCGAGGTTCATGCGGTTGATGCCGCCGCTGGCGCTCGCTGGGGCGGCGTCCATGGGCCGGGGGAACTTCATGCGCTGCTGGTCGGTGAAGACGCTCGCCAATGCGTCGTACGGGTCGAATTTCTGAAACGTACGGTTAGCAACGTTGGGCGCGCCGTAGTAGGGCACAGTATGGCACGGCTGCTCCAACGACATACCTCGTTGTTGACAACGTCTTTAATGCGCCTCCGGTCTTTGCTCGGCAGCAGCATGACCTCGCCCTTGATCCGGCGCTCGTTGGCGTCGTTGCCGCTCGCTTTGCTCCCGAGCCCGGACGAGGGCTTGTCGTTAGCACTGACCCACGGTGCCAGGCCCGGGTCGGGCAGGTCGCGCGTGACATTGCCGTAGATGGCCGAGATCAACTGATTGTGGAGATGTTCGCGCTCGCCGTTTTGTGAGTAGAGGATGGGGTCGACGATGTTGGAGTACTCCGCTTGGTTGAGGCGGCCTGCAATTGGAACAACGGTTAGACACAAAATCATCGAACAGCGGAGCGTAGACCATACGGACGACGGAAGCATCGACGTACCGATAAGGAACTGGGTCGTTGCTGTCTTATAGATTTTCCATTGTTCGTTACCAACGGCCATCCGCAGCGACGTGTAGGCCTGCTCGAGCTCAATGCGCGGCGGGATCGACTGTCCTGCCTTGGAAGGCTTGAGCGATGATGACACCGTGATGGATTTGTTGGAGAGAATGGGTGTTGACAGGCTCACGGCCGGCCGGCTGAGATCCGCGGGGTTGATGTCCGGCATGATGGGCGGCTGTGTGCGGGCAGGGCCGCAGTCGCTGCCGTAAACAAAGCGGGCGCAGGCTCAAGGAGCCCAGGAGAACGACTGGGGGCTGTCAGCGATGGCGATTGGGCGCTTCCGGGGCGATGCCGGGGGCACGGCGGATGGCCGCCGGAGGATCGGAGGCCGGAGGAAGAGAATTCGGAGGGACGTTGTCGCGTGCGACGAAAAAGCACTGCGCCGGCTGGAATCGGCAGTTATGCGCGCACTGGCGCAAAGAGTAAGCGTGCGCGCAGTAGAAATCGATGCTAGATGGATGAATTTGGCATCGTGTGGCGGTGAAATCGATGGTTTGCGAGGCGTGCGGCTGGAGGCTGGTGGTGAGTTTTGAAGACGAAGTGTAAGATTGGATTTTGGCTGTATTCCCGGTTTGCGATGGTCGTGGTGCGCCTAAGCCGCCAGTAGCGGGAAGAATGAGCACAAAGGGGCTTGTCTCCGCCCTCGATACTTGTCGCGACACGCTATTTAGCACCTGGGTTAAGTACCACATACAGATGTGACCCCTCCACAGACGGCGGTCAGACCCCCTGTGATGTACTGTGCCTGGGCCTAGCGGTCCACTAACGGCACTGTAAAACCAGATGATCGATAGCGGCCCCTCACTATTGTCAGGACGGCACGCGTCGGTCGCTCTTGCTGTTGTCGCGTAAAGTAAATAACTGCACGACGCACGTATGCAGACCCCATCAGGAAGGAACGTCCGCGCCCAGCACCACGCCAAACCTGCCGAATTGAGCAGGACGGCATCTGGTGATCTTCCCAGTCCCCAATAGTTCTCCAGCAATCCTCAAACAACACCGTCGAAAGCCCATCCTGCCACCTCGACGCGCCGGCCATGGACCGCAAGCCGCGGAAGCCCGCTCCAGCAGCCGCCCCTCCGGCGCGCAAAGCGGCCCCGGTGATGTCGGACCGTATCAACACGGCCATCAATGGCCTCATCCACCATTTTGTGCCTGAAGATCCAAACGAAGACGAAGATGCAGCCCAGAGACGCCAGCAGTACTGCTTCAACATGGTGCGCACCGTCCTCGAGTCGTGAGTTGGCCCTTCCCTTCACCTTTCTGCTTTTCTGCCATGTGACCTTGTCTGCTGCTAACCTCCTTCCTCGCCAGACCAACATCGCCGGACATGGCCACGGACGTCAACCACACAATGGATCTAATCCGCAAGAAGCTGACGGTAGACCGGCCCAACGACGCCTGGCGCTTCTCCCAGCTGTACTCACGCCTCTTGGCCCTGCCGGTGCTCAACCAGAAGTGGGCTATATTGTACCTGCTCTACCAGCTGTCCGACTCGCCCGACCCAAACGACCCGAACGCTTCGATACCTGTATTGCCCGAAGTCCCTGAAGAGGAGTCAGAGGAGAGCCAGGACGGCGTCGAGGGCGGGGCGGAAAGAGACGACGACGTGCTAGCCGAGCCGTCCGGCCGTGCACAAACAGAGCGGCCGGGCACCGCAGGCAGAAGCTCCAAATCCTCCGCCGCCGGTGCGGGTTCTAATGCACGAGAACCACAGCCGGCCCAGAAGCGGGCATCGACTACTACACGGCAGGAACAGGAAGCCTTTGACGAGGCCTTTGCCCGGGACGGCCTCAAGAAATTTCCGCCTGAGAAGGCACGCCGGGGACCAGAAGAAGCCGCAGCCGCAGCCAGTCGGGATCCGGCAGCAACAGCAGCGGCCCCATTGCGAGATGTGGCGCTCAAATCAACACATCTCGCCGACAGCTATGTCGAGACAAATCCGAGCGAGACAACCTTGCTCCGCGACATTCCCTACACCCTCCAGGGTCTCAACTCAGAGACCATGGTCTTCACAAAAGACACAGTGCTCGTTCTCCCCGCGACATTACCAGCACCCATTGTCTCACTCCTGCACACTCTTGCCGAGCCGGCACTGCTCTACCGCCGGCTCGACAACTTTGTGCGTTCGCCCGCCAAGGGACTGCTCGGCCAGAGTCTGCGTGCCGCCATCAGCAGCGAGCTGCGGGCCTATCTCAGCCTAGTAGCCACGCTCGAGAGCCAGATTCGACGTGCCTTGGCGGCGCTGGATGGCACAGCGCCTCGGAGCGGCATCGGGCGCGCGGGCGTGACCCTGAAGCGGTGCGTCGTGTGGACGCGGGAGGCCACCATGGGCCTGCGGCTGATGGCCTTGATCGCCGAGGAGTCTGCGAACAAGCGTGGCGGGCAGCTGATCTCGCTGATCCACAGCTTCTTTATCTCCCACGGCGACCCTGTGGTCGGCGCATTTGCCGAGCGGCTGCTGGCTCCGGTTGCGCGGCCGTTTTACGATATTCTTCGGCGCTGGATTTACGACGGCGAGCTCGCCGATCCGTACCGCGAGTTCTTTGTGCGCGGGCAAGGAACAGGTGCAGACGATGCCAAACGGCAAGAAGCTGCCAGGGCTAAGGGCCACAGCTCCGTGTGGAACGACAAGTACGACATCGACCCGGCCATGATCCCATCCATCATGCGCACCGACTTTGCCGAAAAGGTGTTCCTCATTGGCAAGTCGCTCAACTTTATCCGCCACAGCTGTGGCGACTCCGAGTGGGTCGAGAACTACAGCAAGGGCGCGTCCAAGGAGCTCCGGTACGGCGATACCGAGACGCTCGAGGCCTGGATCGACGAGGCGTACAAGACGACCATGCGCCGCCTCATGCACCTCATGACGGACAAGTTCCACCTCTTTGACCACCTGGCCGCCCTCAAAAAGTACGTCCTGCTGGGCCAGGGCGACTTCGTTGCGCTGCTCATGGAGTCGCTCGCGCCCGACCTCGACCGCCCGGCCACCGCACAGTACCGCCACACATTGACGTCGCAGCTTGACCACGCTATCCGCGCCTCCAACGCGCAGTTTGAGCCGCCCGAAATCCTGCGCCGCCTCGATGCCCGCATGCTGCAGCAGTCCCACGGCGACACCGGCTGGGACTGTTTCACGCTCGAGTACAAGATTGGCGCGCCCGTCGACTGCGTTGTCACCGAGTGGGCCAACAAGCAGTACCTCAAGGTCTTCAACTTTTTGTGGTACGTCAAGCGCGTCGAGTTCGCCCTGTCCTCCACCTGGCACAAGTGCATGACCGGCTCGCGCGGCGTCCTGCAGACCGACGACCCGGCCGTGCTGCAGGCCTGGAAGACGACGCGCGGCACGCTGGCGGAAATGGTCCACTTTGTCGGCCAGCTGCAGTACTACATTCTGTTTGAAGTCATCGAGGCCAGCTGGGCCACGCTGCAAAAGGAGATCCACCGCGACGACTGCACCCTCGACGATCTCATCTCCGCACACAGACAGTATCTCACGTCCATCACGAGTAAGGGCCTGCTTGGCGTGAGTCGCCGTACGTACGCCGAGATGAAGCAGGCCGCTGCGCAGGCCCAGGCCCAGGCCCAGGCGCTGGCGGCCGCCGCCGCGGGCAAAGGCCCCGCGGGACCTGGTGGCGCCGACCCGAGCAGCCACAGCCACCTGTCCGAGGTGCCTGCCGAGGACAGTAACGGCTTCCCTGTGCAGCTCAAGGACCTGTTGCGCACCATGCTCAACTTCCGCGACTGCGTCGACGGCCTGTACAGCTGGGCCGTCTCCGACTTTACGCGCCGCCAGGAGGCGGACGTGCTGCGGAATCCGCGCATGGCCGCGGCGGCAGCAGCCAAAGCGACGGCCGCCGCCGACGATGAGGCGGACGGTGCCGCGGGGCCGGGCGCCGGTGCGGGCGCCGCGGCCATTGAGTCGGAATGGCCAGCCCTCCAGGCGCGACTACAAACGCTGGGCAAGAGCTTCAACCGGCGGGTGGTGTACCTGTTGGCAGACCTGGCCTACCAAAAGGACACCGACCTGCGGTTCCTGGGCGTGTCGATGAACTTCAACGATGTGTATGCGATGCCGCAGGGCCGGCTACGGCAAGCTCGAAGCGACCGGGTGAAAGGGCCTTAGGGTTTTGAAATTCTGAATTTTGGGGGACTGGCCGGTTGCCTGTTGTCGTTGTCCTTTTTCATATCCTAAAATGGACGTAGCTAGAAAAGCTACGCATGTGTCAGGTCTGCTTGCTATATTGTTTTTTTTGTGTTGTTTTTTTTTCTCACCTTCTCGCCTTCTACCTTACGAGAAATAACATGTCACGACAATTACATGACTTTTTTACGTCGTACTTCTGTCACATATCACGTAGGATAATTTTTAAACAACTCCTGCTCATATTGGCACTCAAAGTACTATCTAGAGGTCGTACATAACATGGGACCAGTCATAAAACATCATGAGTCTCCTCCGTATGAAACACGAAACCTCCGTAAATAGAGAACATGGACCAAAAAAGCAGCCATCCGAAGAAGTTGCTCTCCTGCCAGCTCCCTTCTGGCCAGCCCAGAAAGCGAATGTCCATTCATGTTCTCCTCCCTTCTCAAGTCCTACCAATACCCTGTCAGAACGAAATCTGAATTGAACTTTGCTTCTCCACACTCCAAGAACAAATACACACCTCCTCCCATATAACATGGACAATATGCTCTGCTGGTCCCTTCGCTCTCCAATCACGACAAGGTTGGATGAAAAGAAAGAAACAAAACGGAAAAAAATTAACAAGAACGCCCAGTTTCCATAATCCTTCCTGGCACTTCCTCAACAGTGCGCATAAAATGCTCAAAAAATAATTTCGTTACTCCAGATGCGTGCCAAAATGTTTTGTGTACCCTCTGCCCGCTTCGTGCCCGAGACGAAGAAGAAAAAAAGAAGACAGTTCCCTAAACAAACATATAAAAGCAAAACAAAAACAAGTCCTCGGGTGCAAATGCTGTTGACAATGCTGACCAAAACCCTAAAATCTAGAAAGCAAAAGCAAGAAAATAAGAAGAACAAGACGTGGACTCATTTTAAGAGACAAATAGGAGAACAAGAGACGAACAAGAATCAAACGTCTGTCATCTCCGTGTCATACTCCACAAAGGAGGCCTGCGTGGCGTCCTCGTCGTACTCGGGGCCCCAGTTGCCCTCGAAAATTGTGGCAGGCGCCCGGCGGCGACCAAACACCCACTGCAGCGAGTCGATCTCGAGGATCTCGTGCACGGTTGGGCGTCTGGCCGGGTCGGGGTTGATGAGGTGGGCGACGACCGAGTCAAGTGAGCCCGGATGGTTCGCGTCGACCATGAAGGGTGGCGGGCGCTCAAGGCCAATGGGCTTCTTTGGCGACAGAGCGCCAAAAAGGTTGCCGGCGGGATGGATGGGGTACGTAAAGTCGACAGGTGGGTTCCGACCGGGAGTGGTCGAAGCCAAGTCAAGACTGGCCGTCAGACTGTGGCCGTCCTGGGACGAGTTGTCGAAATCATTAACGACCGGCATACCGGCTGAGTCGCGGACGAGCGCGTTGGCCTCGCCAGCAGTGAGGCTGGGCACAACAGACATGTCACCTTCACGCAAAGCGACCCAGATGGGGCCGTTGTCGGGCAAGAACACGTTGCAGGCAATCTCAAGAACAATCAGGCCAAGGGCAAAGACATCGGCAGGCTTGTCGTAACGGCCCTGGAGAATCTCTGGGCCCATATACTCGCGGTCGCCCTCGCCCTCGATACCCTTGGGCGCAGGCCATGACGTCGCCATGCCAAAGTCGCCGATCTTGAGATGGCCCTCGTACGTCACGAAGATGTTGGCGGGCTTCAAATCCAGATGGATGAAGCCGGCGTCATGCACGTACCGCAGTCCCTGTGATTGCGTTAGCGATTAAGAAAACAGACAAAAAAGTCCAGTACTTGTGTTTGGTTCGGGGCCAAAGCTTACCTGAGATACTTCCAAAAGAATCTTCCAGATGCGGAAGTCATCCAGCCGGCCGTGCTCGCCCACCTTCTTAAGGAAGCTGTCCATACCACCCTCGTCACAGTACTCGGTCTGAATGTAGAGGTGCCCATTTTGCTCCCAGTGGTCAAAGATCTGCAGCACATTCTCGCGATCGCGGACGGCCTCGAGCACGGCCACCTCTCTCAGTTTGGCCGCACGTTCCTTCTGCCCAAAGTACGGTAGGCGCACCTTCTTGACGGCAAAGACATGCGGGGCCGAAGAATGCGAATGCGACCTTGCGAGCGAGGGCGTGTTGTTTCCTGCACGGGTTGAAACGCGCTTGCTCGGCGTAGCGCTGAAGTAGTCCAGAGGCCCGCCACCGTTCACGGACGAGTCACGAGTGTTGACGCGGAAGACCTGTGAGAACTCGCCGCGGCCGACGCACTCGACCTTGCCAAACATGGAAGCCAGGACAACATCTGTATCATTGGGAGCAGCACCGTGGACGGGTGTGATACTAACGCGGCGATCCACAAAGTTGGCATAGGCTTCCCGGTCGGTTGTGGGCGTGGCGGGCGGGAAGATCATGGAGCTTGACTTGTTCGTGGGCAGCGCGACCGACATCTTTGGTGCGCTGTGCTGAGATGGGCCGCCAGAGATGGACAGGCGGCTGGCATCCGGTGGGGCCATGCTGTTCGCAAAGTCGCTATGGTGCAGAATGCTGCACTCGCGGGGCGTCTTGGGGGACACTTTCTCGGAGCTTGAGCTCTCAACAGGGCTTGACAGAGGCATTGAGGCTTCTCTAGGCACAGCAGCATCAGGTGTAAAGCTGAGAGGACCGGTGACAGCAACGTCCCGAATTGCGATGGGTGTAGAGCTGCCCTTGCTGGCGCTGCCAAACAGGTTTTTGGCCAGGACTGACTTGGTGGGCGTGGGAGGCAGGTCAAAGCCGTCAGCAGCACCCTGGCTGTCGCCAATGTCGCCATCCAGGCTGAGAATGCTCCCCTTCCTAGTATGAGCGGATCTCCGCTTGAAGAAATTGGCGACGCTCTCGCTGGTATTGTTGGCGGGAGAGCCACGCGGCTGTGCAGGCCCTGAGCCCGTGTTAAATGGTGTCTCCGGTGCTGCGGAGAAGAAGAAGCGACGCTGCTGCTGCTGCTTGCGGCCGCTACCAGACGACGGCGGGTAAGTGTTGGACGGATAGACCTGTTTCTTGCACGGGGTGTCGGGCATGATCATGGGGCGACTGTTGGCCTGCTGGAGTGCATCGTCCTCGCCGTTGTGGTTCATCTTCGAGACGAGACCAGCGGAGGCAAAAACAGATTGCAGCGGACGCGCCGCCTTGTACTGGGGTGTGGCAATGGGGTCAGGCCTCGGGCGATGGGCGTTTAGAGGCAAGGACCGGGCAAAAATTGACGTCGGTCTCGGGCGGTCCGGAGGTTGCTGCACAGGGAAATGCGTAGGAGAATCATCCGGTAGGCTCGAGCCAGAGGACGACGTAGTAAGAGTGCGAGAGAGCGGATGGGGTTGGTGGGTGTGAGTGGCGCCTGCTAGGCTAGCGGGACGGTCGATGGGATGGACAGACGGGTTCGGAAGCGGGCCTTTCGCTTTGAACGGGCTGTCGCGCGGCTCGGGTTTCAGAAGCTGATCCAAAGAGGCGCGAGGCTTGTTACGAACATTGGTTGCTGAGAAAAGCCACTCGGTTGGTGCTCTCTTTGGCTGCTGCAGATGTGGTGATGTTGGTGCCGCTTGTTGCTGCTGTTGCTGCTGCTGCTGCTGCTGCTGTTGGTGTTGCAGTTGCTGTTGAGCCAGATACTTCTCGCCTTGCCGACGGCCCCAAGAGGAGCGGGGATCATGACGCTGCTGCAGGGTTGATTTGCGCAGCGAAGAGGTACGCTTGGCCATGACGGAGGAGGTGCATGAGTTGAGATCGGTAGTAGGAGTAGGAGAAGAGATGGAAGTGGACGTAGGGCCGCCAGCAGCAGGAAACGCAGCATTGGCGGTGGCAGCACCAGCACCAGCGGATGTGGTTTGCTGGTCGCAGTTGTTGGAGTCGTCGTGAATTTCAAAGGAAGTACGCGCAGGCGGTGCTGCGGCAGGCGAGCCAAAGTCAAAGACGCTGAAATCACCACCCAGGCTAGCAATGCCGTGCAGACTGCGGCGCTTGGCCACTGGACTGCCGGGGTTGACCTGATCGAGGTTCATGATGGCGTCGCTGCGCTTGAGCGGGCTCGAAATAGTCGATGCCAGAGAGTCGAGGCGGGAGTCCCCTGACAGATCAAGGTGCATGCTGTGTCGCGAGGGCTTATCCAGTTTGTTACGCGGTGATGAGCCGAGCGCGAGCAGCAGGCTGCTAAACTTGCTGCCAGCGCTGCTATTTTCTTGGCCAAGAAGCGGCTCGGAGAGGGCTGTCGATGGGCCAGCGGACTGAGGTGTAGCGGACTGTGTGGCGTTGCCCATATCCGAGTTGATGCTCAGGGCACGCTTTAGCGGGCTCTTGGGCGACGACCGAAGGCGCGACACAGACTTGGCGGAAGCCGTCTTGGGGCGCACAGAGCGCAGGGACAGCTTGACGCCGGAGCGGAGAGGAGTAGAGAAGAGGCCCGTCTGGGCCGGATGCGCAGAATGAGGTGCGGCGGGTGTGTTTGCGACACCGGCCAGTGGTGCTGAAGAAGTAAAGTTGTAATCGCTGCTGATGGACGATGCTGAGGAGGAGGCGGATAGGGATGCTGGCAGCGCGTGGGCCGGTGTTGTTGTCTGGGGTTGCGGGCAAGGCGACGGCAGAGCAGAGCTGCTGGAGCTGTCCGAGTGTTGCGAGTTGTGCGACTCGGCGCGCGCCAGGTGAAAACGGGACGGCGAGCGCGACAGTGAGCGGCGCAGAGTGCGCACAGACGAAGGACCAGAATCTCCGTGAAGTCCAGTCGGCGAAGGAAGGGCAAGCGTCCCTCCACCGCCGTTGGAGAAAGACATGGCCAGCGGCTGTAACGCGTTGTTGTCGTGTGTGTTCAATCCGGTAGTAAATAATGACGAAAACAAACAGGTATGACGAAAAGAACGAAAAATCCAGAGAAGAGGAGGTGACGTGAAAATGGATTTGCTCCTCGGTCAGGCAGGCAACTTGTATGTCGGCCGCAGTGTGATATTGTTGCGACAGTGAAGTTTGCGATCAGGAACTGCGAGTAGGCAACAACATTGTCCGGGACCGGTTAAGCTTTTGAGCAAGCGGAGAGGATGCGCCGCTGTATGCACCTGGGGGGATGCTGGACAGCAGGCGTTTTGATAAGGAGGAAACGATGTACGATGACGAGAGAAGAAGCGCAAAGGGGCGCAGCGAATTCTTCAGGACATTCCGAGGCGGGATGTTGGGGAAGCAGTTGATTCAGTAGTCCCGTGAACCGAGACGAAGAAGAGAAGCGCGATCGCGGCGGCAAGATGACAACAGAGCGAGACGAAGAGGTCGTGGCAGGTGATCTTGGTTTACCAAAAGGGGCAAAAAACAACAAAGAATGCTGGCACCGGTGGCGGAAACTGGCGATGATGCGACTGGGGGCGATCTTGTAAGGCCTATCCGGAGAGCTGGCAAGGCAGCAGGTCGATCATTGTTGGTGCGAATCAAGCGCAGAGGCAAGCAGTTCGGTCGATAGACGATGTCGAGCGGCGCGTCTAAGAAGAAAACAAAGCTGGTAAGAGGAACAATGCAGAATCGTGTATGAGGCAATGAAGAGGGAGGGAGGGGGTAAAGGGGGACGGAAATGGGGGAGAGGACAGAAAGAGTGGAAGTGATATGGTCATGTAGCAGTCGGTCGTGACTTCCTTCCCTCCGCGCACGAAAACACACAATTTTGGGAAAATACAGGCAATAACGGGCAACTAATGGGCAATCTAGGAAGGAAGGGGGTGTATCGTTGGTCGCGAAGAGGCAGCAGGGGAGGAGCGAAGAGCGATTCGGGTAGGAAAGATGGCTTGGGATGACGGTAGAGAGAACAGAATGACCAGGGGTGGCAAGAGCCACAGAGCACTGGCGCAGTGGTCTGGGGAGTGTTAGCGCGTGTGTGGTGAGTGCGCGCGCAGAAGGTGCGAACGGTGAAAGTGTGCGAAAATGTGCGAAAATGTGCAAAAATGTGCGGTGACGACACGCGTGTTGTTTACTTTAGCTTCTACAATAGGAAAGAAGGACGTGTTGGACGCGTCTGGGGGCAAGGGCGCCCCACTCTGCCATTGTGTGGCCGTTAATAAGTGAGTTGGGGCCCACTGCGTCTCCACTTTTCCCTTCCTTCCCGACAAGGCCGCTACGGAATGGAAGGCACCAGTCCCAGCACTTGCATCCGTACCACAACAATAGTCAGAAGGGGCCAGCGAGGCCAAACGCGGCCAACGACCTGACCGCGTCTTTGATCTGTCGAGCGTCGAGCGTCGAGCTGTTGTTTTGTCTCGATTGTCGTCTCTCCTGCACTCCTGTATGGGGCCTGCAACGGGGAATTGCGATACGATGCGGCGTGCAACGTCCAGAAATAGATGTGGCCTGTTTGGAAAAGAAAAGACAGGTTTCTTTTGTGTTTCTTTTGTTTTTTTCTTCCTTTGGATGTCGATAACCTGTCGTTGTCCACTTTTTAACAAGCCGGCTGTTTCTTGAGTGTTTCAACGCACCACTCCCCATTCCAGTCGCCGTTGAGCCAGCCGTTGGGGCTAGGCTGACAGGAAACGAGCGAGAAGAGACGAAGGGACCTGGGGACGTTCAAGGACCTCCAGATGCTCGGATCGACACTGGCCTTGCCGGCGAGCGATCGCCGCCCAACCCAGGAACAGGCCTTTTCAGAGGGCCCCGGGCGGAAGCAAGTGTATTGGCGTGGTTGGGTCCTGTGGGCTTGCTCTGACGTTCTTCACCGTTTGGTCCTTTTTCTTTCTCGCCTGACACCAGCATCCTCCACCGCGATGCCGCGACCAAGTGGAGCTCACAGGGTCCTGTCGCCTCCGCCAGACACCCGGACGCTGTAGGCTGGGGCTGTTTATTGCGTCGTGAAGTCACGACATGTCTGCTGTTGCTCACCTCGTCGCCCACTTTCGCCTCCTAAACGATCTGCTTCCGGGTTGACACCCGACGCTTTGCGTCACAATGTCGCCTCCCTCTTGTCTGTTTGCATTGTTTATTTTCTATGATCCATCACCATTCTCGCCCCTCTACCCGTCTGCCCCCCTCACAAAGACTGCAGAGTGGCCAGTGCCTGCTGGAAACCGTTGGGGGTGCAACCTTCCCAAACACAGCTATGACTAGGAACGTCGTTTGTTATTCATCACACACAATGGGGGCACAACGTGGCTGCGTGGGCATCCATTACATATGGGTGCATTCCAACCGCGCCTCCCGTTCGTCTTGATCCAGGCTTGAGGGGCATTACTGCTTCCGGTATGTCTGCGTGCGGCGTGCTGCGTGCTTTGTCTTCACAGTCTATTTCGAAGCTCCGTACGACATGTATACGGCGTATATCAGCTACGTATTATTTGTCGTAGTTCAGTGTCGAGACAAATGATCCTCTACGGGGTACGGAACATGCCATTTCATCCGTCTCTGCCAGCGTCAGCGCCTACATCCTATTTCAATTTTATTTTCCCTCCTTGGACATATCAAAACAAACAACCCGCGTTTGCCGATTCTATTCTCTTCTTCGCTTGCTCTTTCTCTCGCTTCTCTCTTTCTTTTCGACCATCGTCTTTTGCCTCACCCCTATTTCCTTTGCATAAAATATGATATGCGCAATGGCCCGTTTTTTAAAATTGTGCCTCGTGCACTTGCTCGGCGCTGTGCGTGGTTAAAATTAGCATCTCATTGGGTACAAAAGCACGCCGCTCTTTTCGTAGGTGTTGCTCCTTATGGCCCCGTCGTTGTTTGTTCCTTTTGACCGCTTTCGTCGCACATGAAAATAGTCCAATTTCATCTTACGTATTATTGTAATTCCTATTTTTCTACTCGTGGGGAAACGGCTCCAAGAGAAATAATGGGGTGGAAATGAAAGCAAAAGGATAAACATGAGGATAAACATGGCGAACAGAGAAAAACGAGGTAGGGAGCAGCCAAGGCAGGCGAAGAGGGACCAGGGCCCAGGCCAAGGTGGACAAGACAGGCCACCGGCAATGGGATCCCGGCTACCCCCTAGGCCCAGTTCCCAAGGAACACGAGCAGTCCCCTTCGACGAAAGCTTCCATGCATGAACCACGGGAAATGACTGCAACCTTGACGAGGGACTCTGCCTGGGATTTTTTTCCTTGGTCAAAACAAAGCCGTCATCATGACGGGGGCTCCCAGGGACAAACAAAACAAAAGGAAATAAACACGAGTGAGAGAGGTGAAAAGAAAAGAAAAAAAGAAAAGAAAACATGTGCTCTCGTATGTCTATTGTCTTTACAAGCTCCTATGTACAGGAAAGTACAATGCCCATGTGCCGACATTGTGTAAGTGTATGGTCGTACGTACATTGGCTTCGTTGTTTCGTTTCTCTCCCTCGGCACGTGCCCGTCTTCCCACCCCCCATACATCGTAGGTCCGTCACGAGCACCGGCTCCGGATCCACTCACACCACACCCCCAGGTCCTCGCACACCTCGAGGATCCGTCCCAGGTCCTGCGGGTAGAGACGCCGGTTCTTGCCCTTGCCCTTGCCCTTGGCCGTGTCGGCTCCCTCGACGCCATCGACGACGTTGCTGCTATTGATGCTGCCGTCCTCGTCGTCCAAGAGGTTCTGCGAGACCACGTGTACCTGCGCATTGGGACCAATCTCGAGGACGACGTCTGCCGTAGCCGCGCGGAAGGGAAACACAACCTGCAGGCGCGGCACCGGATGCGCTGTGAGCACGACGTCCATGTTCAGAGCACGAGAGGGCCGTGGCGCGGATCGGGTGGACCCGCCGCCGGCCGCATAGCGCTCAAACTCGTCGTCGGCCGTGGCGAGTGTCGACGTCTTTGTCCGGCCGCTGATGGGGACCTTGAATGTCTTGGACGGTGCTGTTGCGGCAGGTGCTTGCGGGGCGTTGGCGTTTTGGGCTGCCGCCTCCGGATCGGCGCCGAATGCATTCTGCAGCACCGTCGCAAGAAAGGCATACTGTCGCAGCGTCGGCAGCATCCGCACCACCTGGCTTGGGTGGGAGAACGGCAGCTCCGACAACAGATGCCCGTAGACGGGCTTGTAGATGAAGAGGGCGTGGTGGTGCTTCGTGGTGGCGATCGTGCCGCCTGCATCGGATCGAGACGCGACCGCCTTGTCGCGCCGGATCGTCCGCGGCTCGCTCGGGTCGTGCTGCGTGCCCGGCGGCACGGGGAAGAGCAGCGCGTCAAACGTAGCCGGCGGCTGGGCGTCGGTCTCGGGCACAAGGCCGACAAGCTCGTTGATCTGATGCCACAGCGCCAGCGGCAAGACAACAGGCGGATGGAACACGGCATGGAAGCGCACATCTGGCAGTTTGGCGCCGGCCAGCGTCGTGGGTGCCTCCTCGTCGCCTTCGGTTTTGCTCGCGCCGTCGGGCTGCTGTGTCGATGGCAAGATGGTGTTCTCCGGCTCGAGCCAGTCCAAATCTGGCTGGGCCGGGTTGCTGTTGCCGCCCAGCAACATATTGTCAGACTTCTCGATGGCGTCCGACAGCCACTTGTCGGAGACGCGCACGGGTGGGTACATGAGCGCACTGCTTGTCGGGGCGCAGCCGATCAAGATGCGCCAGGTTGTGTCGTCCGGTCCAGCCCCCGTGCCAGCGACCACGCCCACATTGTCAGCAGCAGCAGCTGCTGCTGCTGCCCGCACCGGCCGCACATGACGCATTTGCTTCCAGTAGTCAACGCCCAGGCCCAAATGGCCGCCCTCGTGCATGGTCGGCCGGCCGTGGCGCGCACACTGCACTGTCGTGACCAGCGCGTCCTCGTCGCGGGCCGTGCTCTGGGTGTGGGTCGAGAGGGTCGGGTCGTTGCGCAGCTGCTGCAGGTCCCAC